CGTGTTAGTTTATTACGATATAGTTTCTGATTAACAAGAAATCGAGAGAAATAGTCATTTGTTTACAATATATAAAACGCCTAGCTTGTGTTACTTTTTGTACGCCTCGCTCGCCGCGCCTGTCAATCAAATTAATGTTTTCGTCATCGTGACGTCACCTAATAACATCGTGACATCTTTTCCCCTTTAACAAAATATGAAACTACTGTATAATATAGAATTGTATATATGCATAAAGTACTTGTACTTAACGTTTGAGTTGTTTAACGCTGAGAGCGTTCACTTCATGACATAGTCCTTGTGCCACACCGGTGTATATTTTGTACGCGCAGATCGGCGTGGTAGATTTCCAATGGTCTCAGAGGAGGTTTCACCGTCTAATAGTGGTACGTGTTCGAGATTGGGTTCATTCACAATCGAACTGTTCTCGGGTTCCCTACTGCTTTGCTCAGGTCCAATCTCAGGATCCATACCAGCTGGTGGTGTTGGAGGTCTTTCTTGCAATGCTTGGAGTTGTCGGCGGTTTCGTCGGTATTTCCTTCCACTCACCTCTACTTCGTACGATCTGTTATCCAAAACCCTGGTACACGTTCCAAGGGTCCATTTTGTTGCATTTGGTAATTTCATTCGTATAGCTTGACCTTTTTTTAATGGCTTAAGAGAATGGTGCGTCTTGTTATAATGGCAAATTTGTCGTGATTTCCGAGCAGCCAGTTTATCTCTAGTGCCTTCGTTGATTGGTTGTTTAAGGAGATTTTTGTGAGTCGGTAACAGTGTTCGCGTACGTCGCCCCATCAACCTTTGGGCAGGTGATGATCCCAGACCTTCTGTGGGGGTGTTTCTCCAGTCTAAAAATGCTAACAATGGGTCTTGGCCAGCAGCTTTGGCTTTTGTCATCAGCATTTTGCAAGTCTTGACCGCATTCTCTGCTCTGCCATTAGATTGTGGGTAACGAGGGCTTGAAGTTAGATGCTTAAACTGCCAATCTCTTGCAAATGCTGAAAATTCTGTGGCAGAAAACTGAGGTCCGTTGTCTGTTATCACTGTATCTGGGATTCCATGTCGTGCAAACTGGACTTTGCAGGCTACTATGACTTTATCAGCGGTAGTTCTCGTAAGTTCTTGGACCTCGAAGAATCCACTCCAGTGGTCTACGAGCAGAACAAAGTGTTGTTTTCCAAGCTCAAAAAGGTCCATACTGACCGTTTCCCAGGGACGGAATGGTATTGGGTATGGTTTTAATTCTTCACGACATTGTGCCGGTTGATACGCCTGGCATGTTGGGCATTTAGAAATCAAATCTTTAACCTCTGCGTTCATGAGTGGCCAATATAATACCTCACGGGCTCTCCGAAGACATCCTTCTATGCCAATATGAGATCGGTGAATCTGCGTCAGCATTTCTTTTCTCATTGATTTTGGGACTACTAAGCGTTCTCCAGCGAAAACTAGTCCATTATCAACTACTAGTTCACTTCTTTTGTCGTAGAACGGTGCCAAGTCCTGGCTGCACTGTCTCTTGGATGTAGGCCAGCCATTCTTTACCGCGACGATGATACTCTGCATGGTTTTATCTGACGGTGTCTCGCGCTTGAACTGGTCGAGTCTGTCTGGAGAAATAGACAGATTCTCTGCATGGTCGATCTCTTCCAGAGCTCGTACCTCAGTCGTGTCATGACGCCAAGATTCTGTTGTGTTCCGATATGCACGACTCAGGGTGTCCGATATCCACATGAGTTTGCCTTTCTTGTACTGCACGTTGAGATTGTAATTTTGGAGGGCCAGCAGCATTCTCTGCAACCGTTTAGGCGAGCTATGTATAGGTTTGATGAAAACTGCCTTAAGCGGTTCATGATCGGATTCTACGGTAACGGTTTCTCGGCCGAGGATATACTGATCGAATTTGCTTGTTGCCCAGACAATCGCTAGTAATTCTTTTTCAATCTGAGCGTAACGAGTTTCTGTATCTGTAAGTGCCCTCGAAGCAAAAACAACGGGTTGTCCGTCTTGCGTTAAGACAGCACCTAGGCCAGTGTCACTAGCATCACATTCAATAGTAACTTCCTTGCTGACATCGTAGTATCTCAGGACCGGCGCTTTGGCTAGAGACTTCTTGACAGTGTCATATGCTTGCTGGTGTTGTTCGAGCCAACACCACTCTACATCCTTATCTTCAAGTCTTCTCAGCGGTTCGGTCATGTCCGACAATAAAGGTAAAAATTTTGCCAAATAGTTTACCATCCCGAGAAATCTTTTGAGGCCTTTTGTGTCAGTTGGGGCAGGCATGTCTAAGATCGCTTCGACCTTTGCTGGATCAGCTTTGAGGCCATCAGCGGTAATGAGGTGTCCCATGAAACGGACTTCTGTCTGTGATCGCTTCAACTTCGATTTATTCAGCTTGAGGTTCCACTCACGACATTTCTTGAAAAATGCCCGTTCATTCGTTTCCAAGCTTCGATCGACCTCGTCTCCAGTTTCTCCAAATCCCGCGATAAGGAAGTCATCTGCTATGACTTCAACTCCATTAAGATCTTGAGCAAACTCATGCATACGCCTTTGCCAAACTTCGGGTGCACTCGATATTCCGAATGGCATGCGAGTCCAACGGTACCGTCCGAAAGGGGAGTTGAACGTTGTCAAATAACTCGAAGCCGTGTCAAGTTTGATTTGGTGAAATCCGTCCTTAGCATCGCAGAGTGTGAATTTCTTGGCACCCGTTAATCTTGAAGTGACTTCATCTACAGTGGGTAGTTGGTAATGTTCGCGTCGTATAACACGATTTAGGTCTCGCGGGTCGATGCATATACGGATCTTGTTCGGCTTGACGACTGCCAACATACTGGATACCCAACGAGTGGGTTCTGTGACAGGGACAATGACTTTTCGGTCGACTAACTCATCTAGTTTGGCTTTTATTTGAGATCGTAATGCGACTGGAACACGTCGAGGGGCATGGATAACTGGCTTCGCCGTATCTTCTATAGTTATCGTGTGAGCTCCTGGTATCTCGCCCAGGCCATCAAAAACGTCGGCATACTCTTCTGCAACATACGAGTTGTCTTCTGGAGGCTTTATTGTCAGTGCCAAAATGTCACAGTTGGTCAAATTGACAACGCCAAGAGCGATGCTTGTATCTAATGATAAAACTGGTTGATAATCTCCGTGAATAATGTTAAAGTTCAATGTTCTTTGCTGATCTCCGAACCACACCGGCAATTTGGCTCTTCCGGTGATTTTACGATGTTCTCCTGTGTACGAAACGATCTCCTTCTTGCAGGTCTTTAGGCCTTGCAGTTGTTTGTCACCAGTAACTTGTATGTATGAACTTGCTGGGAGAATGTCACATTGCGACCCAGTGTCTATCTGGAATTGAACCGTGTTCTCCGCCTCTGGCTTCGACACTTGCAAATTGATCACAGCTTTGCGTGCTTTGGGCTCGTTGCTGTCAGAAATAGAACTGATGCAGTAAAGATCTTCTTCCGGTTTTTGCTCGACTTCCGTAGTTTGGTTGACTTGTGGTGCTTTGCTATTTTTTCCTCGGCATTTCCGCGCGAAATGATTCATCTTTTCACATTTAAAACACTTTTTCCCGAACGCTGGACAATTCCGTTCGTCGTGAACCATACCACAATTTCCACACTCTGTAAACAATCCTTCCTGCTGGCGGTTTCGCATTGAATATCTCGGCGGTTTTGTCTTTCGATATTGTTTACTTTCTATACCGGCGTCTTCTTGTTGTGTTCTCCTTAGCGTGTTTACAAAATCTTCTCCGGTGCTCATGAGCTTGACTTGCTGCTGTGTTTGTTCCGCGGCTTTGATAGTGTCGACTGCCTTCTGTAACGTGAGATCGTTTAGCCTCAATAAACGTTCTCGGACGTGGTCATCACGAATGCCTAAAACAAGACGATCCCGTAAAATTTCGTCTGGTGTAATCGAGTCATGTGCACAATTTCTGGCGATTGTTCTCAGTTCCGTTAGGTAGGTTGCGATGTTTTCTCCAGGTGCCTGGTTTCTATTGTTGAAACGGTATCGTTCATAGATTATTTGAGTTCTCGGTGAACAATATTCATCAAATTTTTTAAGTACAATATCAACATCATTTTGATTTTCATCTTCGCCCCAAGTAAAAGTGTCATATGCCTTAACACCGTCCTCGCCGATTACGCTTAACAAGGTTGATACTCTGACAATACCTTCTTGTTTTTGTACACCTGTTGCAATCTCGTACCGTGTCCATGATTTCTTCCAAGACTTCCATGTAGTTGCCAAGTTATCGTCGAATATAAGCGACTTTGGCGGTGGCAAATTCGATGGCGCTATAAATATTTGTGGCGTCTGGGCCATTTGTGGCGCTTGGATTTCTGCCTGTGGTTCAACCATCGTTTTATTTCGACTCAGAACACTCCTGACACCATGTAACGTGTTAGTTTATTACGATATAGTTTCTGATTAACAAGAAATCGAGAGAAATAGTCATTTGTTTACAATACATAAAACGCCTAGCTTGTGTTACTTTTTCGTACGCCTCGCTCGCCGCGCCTGTCAATCAAATTAATGTTTTCGTCATCGTGACGTCACCTAATAACATCGTGACAGATGCCCCTGCTGAACGCCAATGAACGTAATTACTTAGCAACGGCTGAATTCGGCCATAGTACGAGCTTTATAGTTTCTTCGGACTTTTTTTGCTTGTCACAGCTGTACTTACTTCGCCTTTCCAAAAGGTGACCCTAAGATGTCCAAAGTCAAAAGTGTGAACCAAAGATGGAGCTATTAGAAGTCAGTCTCCCCCGTCCCCGTCCCCCTCCCTCCGTCTATTTTTTGGCTGCGTAGTTAACAGGAAGCTCCAAGGAGTGTGCCGAAATTTTGTATTTTTTACCTCCATTTAAAGATTACGTAAAAACAGGCAAAAACTTTTTAAATTCATCTGAAATGGCAGCAACAACGTATGACGTGTAAACACGCTCGTGATGGAGAAACGTTGTAGATTTCTAAGATAAGTTTAAAGTTACATAGTCACCTTCTATTTCACAGGTCTTTCCTGTAAATCCTTTCTTGCATTCACAACTAAATTTACCATCTTCGCTTTCACATTTTCCTTCATTCTTGCAGGGGGAATTTTCACAAGGATCAACTGTCAGTATAAGGAATATATACGTCAAATTATTTATGGAGTCAGTTGTACGAAAGCTGGATATCCACCGGATAATGATGGTTTTGTGCTTGCAAAAATTCACAGTTGATTAACTATAACCCCAATTAAAATTTAGTATTGACAAAGTAACATTTCTTTTCACGAATTGTAAGGTCTAATGGTAATTTTAACAAAGGTTTCAACATTTTTAGCCTGCAAAGTTTGAATACAATATCGTGAAATAAATAGACGTTCTAACGCCACTGATAAAAAGCTCATCTCTATCGGTTTGCATGAAAAATACGCAAACAATATTGAGGGCTATTGCTGAGAATAACATTTAAAGTTATTGTTTTTAAGCATTTTTGATGAATGCCATTAAATAATCTTTTCTAGCCCACGTGCAGGCCCAAGGGAACTGATAGTGGGCCTGCAAGCAAGGCCCGGTATTTTGTAAAACGCCCTTTTCATGACACGCCCCATTCGCGCGTCAATTGTCAAAAAAGAACCAATGACAGCACCCAAATATTAACAAACAAACTAGCATTAAAATGTTGCGGGGTTCCTCTGCTTATTCAGAACATAAACAATGTGTAAATGGCTGCTCATTTTCAAGTGCTCATTTTCAACTCAAATCGGAACAGGCAAATTAGGACGAATTTCAACAGAAAACCAGTCTCAAACGTCAAATCGTGAGGGACGTCGTGCGACCACATTAGTGGGCTTAAGCAAGTGACGTTTTTGACAACACGAACGGCATGAGTAACGTTAGAAGTCTGGGTCAAGGGCTGTGATTGGTGAAAAACGTCAATTTTACTTCCGCTCGACGTCCGTGTTGTCAAAAACGTCACTTGCTTTAAGCTCACTATTAGCATTTATAACGTGTGCTTCGCTGTCGCCATTGTTATAAATAAATTGTCTCACTTATCAGATCGTGTGTGCAATTCTTGTTGGCGGCGGAAAGTACGAAATATATTTCAGTTATGCCATTTGGTAAAGAACTCTACAAAAGAAGAAAGCGTTCAGAGTCCAGATCGTTTCGTTTCAAAAGGCAATTTAATACCATCTTCTGTTTCGCTCTCTCAGCGAAGCCTTGTAAATCGCAAAGTGTTTCGAATAGGCTTACATGCAACTGCATGTCAACTTCAACCAAAAGATAATTTTCTTCAGGAACATATAACGTACCAAGTCTGTTTGAAATTAATGAATCTCAAGTAAAGGTTACTATAGTTTACCCAGTTGTAATGTTGCTATTCCAACACCTCACGACAAGCAATCCCCATTGGTATAACGGCAAAAACATTTCTTCCTTCAAGAAACAATAAACAGTCTGTTCTTGACTTCTTGTTCGATTTGCAATCGAAAAAAGTGATCAATTTTCGAATTTTAAGCTTATCGAGAGCCTTTGTGATGAATCACTGACTTAATTATAGAATCCAACAGCAAACAGCCAGTCAGAATGGCGCGTTCGTGGGCGAACGTGAAAAGTACAAAATACATGGCCTTGCTTGCTGGCCCACTATTAGTTCTCTTGGGCCTGCACGCGGGCTAAATCTTGTCAGGCAACCTTTATGGAGTTTACAGATTCAAGCGGCTGGTGTTAGAATAAGCTTATAATATTAATTGAGCTGAAGCAAGTGATGTTTGTTGTCAGTTTGTGGCAATCTTTAAGACGTATGAAAATAATATAGTATTTGTCCTGGTTTTTTTCTCCATTACAGGAACGTTATTATGGTTCAAAATACCGTTTATTAAAATGATATCAAATTTAGGGTGACGTCAATGGTGACAAAAACGTCGCTTCCTCAAGCTCTCGAATCATAGGAACTTGTACAAGCAAAATAAGCAATTATCAAATTGCAAACAAAACAATATAATGACAATGAAGCTCTGACAATGAAGTGTGGTTCTGCGTACTTCGAAACCCGGACTTGGACTCAGACCGGGACTCGAAGAAAATCCGGACTCGAGAAAAACCGGGAACCGGACTAGAAAAAAATCCGGACTCGTGTTTAAGAAAACCCGGACTTGACTTTTGAAAACCCGGACTCGAAATAGACAAAACCGGATTCAAAACAAGGACGAAAATGCAAAGGTTTTTTGGAAAGGTTTAATAATTTGGTTCTGTCCCTCTGAAACCCTGGGAGTTTAGTGCTTTCAACATCTGACTTACCTTCGTCTTGACAAAACTCTCCTTTATAACCCTTTGGACATTTACACACAAACTGAGTGACATGAGTAACCTCGCATGTTGCATTATTGAAACAAGGAGAGCTAGCGCAGGGATTAACTATAAAGAGAAGTGAAATTCAATGTTGAAATAAGTGTTGGTTATAAAGACAGCTGCGGACTGACAGGAATAGAAATACTTGAAAAATATAAACATTTATTATATACACGAGGTCTGGATATGAGGTACTCTGCAATCTGATTGGTTCTCTACAAGCAGGATATTAGCTCATATCTTGCTAGTAGAGAAAAACAAAATGGCGTCTCAAACTGAATTTCCGACATTTTGCGAACGAGAAAATGGCAAGTTGTTCTCTTTTTAAAAATACGACGAAAAAACTCCCACAAATTGTTTACAGGTTAGCAAAAAAATATATATTTTTGAAAAAATACTCGGCCGAAAGAGCGAAGATAAAAACATAAAAATTAATAGAAAAATATTGAAAATGTCCGAAAAGCAAAGTCTGTGAATTCAGGCCCTGTGTATATAATAAAACTCACTCTCGTCGAATATGAGCGATAGCCGATTCGGCGCTACGCGCCTCATCTGCTATCAGCTCATATTCGACTCGAGTTCGTAGAATAATTGTTAAATAGCCTCGCCGTTTCGAGCGAAGCACCTTCCTCGGGAAGTCCGTGGTTGTCCACCAACTTTTTGACGAAGTGCCTTCGCTCGAAAGGTTGAAGTTCTGCTTGCATTTTTAATTTGAGGTGGTTGTATATATCTTTCTCAATCAGCAGACATATTATCCTTTGTGTAATGTTTATATATTATCCTTTATGTAATGTTCATATATAATATCCTTTATGTAATGTCCATATATTATCCTTTATGTAATGTTCATATATAATATCCTTTATGTAATGTCCATATAATATCCTTTATGTAATGTCCATATATTAATGGAAATGAATCGCCCTGCGATTCCCGTGTCTATACTTTATAGTTGCATTTTTCGCAACTACTCCTGGTTAGGTATAATGTACAAAATTTACACTAGAAATTTCTATCAACAAAACCTTCACAGTTAGTTAGTTATATCGAGTGAGATGCTCAAAATTCTGAAGTCTTCAAACGATCAGAGAGAATTCGAGAAACCATGTACTGTTCAAATTACCTCTTTCCGAGCAAGTCTGTCCCTCATATCCCTTTGCACAGCTGCAGTGAAATTCCTCTTTTGATAAATCACTGAAACATTTCCCCCCGTTTTCACATGGTCCACTCTTGCAAACATCCACTAAAAATTCAGAAATTATTCAAATTATTTACGGGAAAGATTTTCACACTAAAAATTTGAATAGCAATATGGAAAGAGCGAAAATAGCAGGGTTACTTCATAGTCAACTCGATGCAGACATAATAGACCTCGTAATCTATGTTTTTATATTGATTTATGCAAGAAATGGTCGGTGTATTGTATTTTCGCTAGAGCAACCACTATAGCTATGTTTTCATTTAATCATTGTGTAGACTGCAAGCAATACCTCTATTTTCTTTCGTTTTATTGTTTCTCGGACCAAAAAAGGGGCTTTCTGCCTTTTACCGCGTGTTCAGTCTTAGTCCGGGAAACAATAAAACAAAGGAAAATATAGGGCTTGCTCGCAGTCTAACCATTGTGCACGGCTGGATATCACGACTGGATGGATATCAGGACTGGATGGATATCACGACTGGATGGATATCACGACTGGGTAAGTAACGAACGTATTGCTATTGGTTGGTTGGTTGGAAAAACAATACACACATACGTGACGATAAACCAACCATTTTCTGCATAAACCAAGACAATAACATAGATAATGAGGTGTATTATGTCGGCTTTGAGTTTGCTTACCCTTCTATTTTATTGAATTCTATATTAAGTACTTATTTAAGATGTAATGTTATTTCGCTAACTGCATTATTTTAAGATAATTTTTGTTTCCTTTCCCGAAATCCTTCCCAATGAGAACAATTGAAAGTTGTATTTAAAAAAAGTCATGTAGAAAGCCAAATATCTCCTGCCCAGGAATCATGCCCGTTTAAGGTATTTTGTTAATTTTATGTTTATGACAAGTTGTATGTTGTAGTATTTATTTTTATACGTATATATTCGAAGAATAGCTGAATATACGTAGAACATTTGAATCAAAACATGTAACACTGGCCAGTGATTTTTTGCATTTTGATCAGAAAAAGTACATTTCGGGCTTGGCATTAAATCCATGAAAGTCAATTCACTGTATTTTACTATCTTTAGTATCGATAGGATTGATTTGTCAACTTTTTGGGTAGTGTTTTTTGAGTTTGAAAATTGTCTTCACTCCTCAATTTATCGCTAGAAAATAACTCTTTCGGGCCAAGGCCAAGATATCGTAAAAGCTGCCCGCTCCTGCAGTCAATCAGATTGCAGGAAATCAAAAAATATCACTAGGCATGTACAATTAAAAAAATAAAATTACTTATTTAAGGTGTATTTCGCGAACTGGATTTTCATTTAAATGCATATGAGACAATGTTTGTTTTCTTTCCGGATATCCTTCCCAATGAGATTAATTGAATGTTGTATTTTTTTAAAAGTTATGTAGAGAGCCAAATATCTCCAGAAATATTGATCGGTTAACTGAAACAAAAAGCAAGATATTAATTGTTAAGTAAAGTACCTTTCAATTCGCAACTATCTCCTTCATATTGTTCTGTACAAGTACATTTAAACCTGTTTTCAATATTCTCACAAGTTCCGTTATTTTCACAAGGAGAACTATCACATGGATAAACTACAAGAAATTAATAACAATTTTTCCATAAAAATGTAATAAATATAAATGTAATGTAAACGCGAAAGTTTTGAAAGACAAACAATTAAAAATGAGATTATTATATAGTAGAAAAACCTTAACATTGAAAGAAAGAAACTCAATTTCCGCAAGCGACCTTGATGATTTGGACAGTTTCGAATCCAATGATTAAATAATTCAACAGCAAAAATCATTTATATTTAGTGAACATTCAAGACGTTTCAAGAAGTGTCTAAGATGAAACATTATATTATAATGAAGTTTGTTGATATTCATTATACATATACATATATTTAGGAAAGTTGATGATTTTATAAGCAGAAAACTATAAATATTTTTACCTTTTTGTGGAAAAAGGTGATTATGATCGTATTATGGTAAGACCCGTTCCTGCGATGAGCATTGATTGGCTAATTAGAAACACTTCATGTTAAAATATTTGAGAAATAGTCAAATAGAGTGGTTTGGTTGGAGATGCAAGCAGTTGTTGCATGTATGTATTTGTAGTAATCACAATCTGTATTATATCGTAATTATAATATATCATATTCTGATTTTTTTAATAACTGTATTATATCGTAACAAAAAAAACAAACAAACATAAAACAAAGCAAATTTATTTCAGGAAGTTTTACCTCTGTTTTGACAGATGTCTCCTTCATATCCTTCTGGACAACTGCATGAGGTAGTAAATTTTGACAAGTCACTCAAACATTCACCGCCGTTCAAACATGGACTATCTTTACATGGATCAACTGAAACAACAAGATGGTTCGGTTATTTTGGTTATTGCATACAAATATACCACAAATTTTAATCCCCAAGATTAAATTTGTGAATGACACCCGCATTGTCTTCGACCATATCATGCGCGATAACAATGTAAAGCGAACAAGGAACGGGAAACAACTGAACAACGATTGCAAAAATATCATGGACTCCTTTCTTCAGAGTGGGCTGCAGTAAAGATACTCGGTTTAATTATTTTAGAGCAACACGATCTTTTGTATGTGGAGGTCACTTTGTATCAACAACAGCATAAACGAGGACAATGACTCGACAGAGATTACAAGAACGACAGAGATAACGGAAACGACAACGATCACGCAATGACCATGTGGGTTTTGTCAGGGACAACAACAAAGACGACGGCTACAAAATTAATAGCAAAAACAACAAGAACATGCACATCCACAACGACAACAAAAACAACAACAATGATATCGTCAATAACAATGATTATTATTAGCATGACAAAATTACTGGATGCTGATTGGTTGAGAGGAGTACAATAATTTCATTAATTGTACTGCAGTACAATTAATGATTTTCCAAAACAAACAAAGTGGCGGAAAGGTTTTTTAAACACAAACGTGAACTGAAATTGCCCCAGAGAAACTAGATGAAAATACAAACAAAAGCACAAAAATTTGGTTGAAAGTCTGACAGCCTGGCTTTGGCAAGAGAATATCATGTTGACATTGACAAGTATCCAATTTTGTCAAGCTAATAATAAACTATAGTAATCATGCGATGTTGCTCGTACAAGGGATGGGCGAGTCCAATTTGGCAAATTTCCAAAATCACGAGTACCATTAATCCCTAATTGTACTCGCTATCGCACGATTACCTATACTAACAATAAGAAAAAATAATGGGGACAAAAACCAATGCAAGAAAACAAAAGCCGTACATAACAAAACATTTATTTTAATTAAAAAGCAAACCTCTCGTTTCGCAACTATCTCCTTCATATTGTTCTGTACAAGTACATTTAAACCTGTTTCCAATATTTTCACAAGTTCCGTTATTTTCACAAGGAGAGCTATCACATGGATAAACTACAAGAAATTAATAAAAAAAATTCCATAAAAATGTAATTGAAGGTAAAAGTCGGAAAATGAACAATTAAATATTTGTATTATATAAAGTCTTTACCTCTGTTTTGACAAGTGTCTCCTTCATATCCTTCTGGACAACTGCATGAGGTAGTGAATTTCAACAAGTCACTCAAACATCCACCTCCATTCAAACATGGATTACTTTTGCATGGATTGACTGGAACAAATATACAGTTTGGTTATTTGGTTACAAATATGCTGCTTAACTAAAGTGTTGTCTTAATTAAAGAACAAACCTCTTGTTTCACAACTATCTCCTTCATATTGTTCTGTGCAAGTACACTTAAACCTGTTTTCAATATTCTCACAAGTTCCGTTATTTTCACAAGGCGAACTATCGCATGGATAAACTACAAAGAAACAATAACAACTTTTTCATAATTGTATTATATCGTAACAAAGAAACAAACAATAAAAGAAGCAAAGATATCTCCGCAAGCCTGTACCTCTGTTTTGACAGGTGTCTCCTTCATATCCTTCTGGACAACTGCATGAGGTAGTAAATTTCGACAAGTCACTCAAACAATCACCTCCATTCAAACATGGACTATTTTTACAAGGATCAACTGAAATAAAAACATATTTCGGTTATTTTAATTATTGCATATTACAAATAAATATACCACGCATTTTAGGGGCCAAAACCTTTTTAACCATCATCAGCATCAGCATCACCAATACCAACAGTAATAATCCAAAGGGAACAACAAATGAAAATAACTTAGCAACAAAGTACGAATATTTTATTGGCTATCCTTTTCCTGACTCAAATTAACAAAATAATAATATTAATTAATTAAAGAACAAACCTCTTGTTTCACAACTATCTCCTTCATATTGTTCTGTACAAGTACATTTAAACCTGTTTTCAATATTCTCACAAGTTCCGTTATTTTCACAGGGAGAGCTATCACATGGATAGACTACAAAGAAATTAATGCCAATTTTTTTAGGACAACATAAGAAAAGGGAAAGTTCTGAAAGATTAACGAATAAATCGCTATATAGTATACGAGCCTGAAAAGCAAAATATAATGTAAACAGGGCAAATTAATTTCCACAAATGCCAAACTAGGTATATATTTTAACTGATTAAATTTAATTTCAGTCAGCGTGACTACCGTTTGCTCAACTGCAGTGGTTGCCTAATAATAGAAACAGACTAACAGTTGATGCTAAAATTATATTTGGTATATACCAGGTGATCTCGTGTTCGTAGTTTAGCCAATCAGCGCTCAGAAAGGGATGTCCAAATAGAAATCTATTTTGTTGTATTCAGTCAATTATATCTTTAATTTCGTTATTCTTTATGAAATTAGTTGAAATTTTGTAATTATGTTTGGTTATGAGAATTATAGCTCTGCCATAAATATGGAATCGAAATAAAGTATATTACAGGAGATATTCAATTGTTTTAATCATAAAATGGATTTCTATTTGACAACTAGTGGCAGTACTTTTCCGCGTATCAAGATAATCTGGAAGTTGGCGGTTGCAAGGCCGTTGGAAATAAATCAATATTGGGGGAAGGGTTCAAGAATAACTTTAAATTATTTTCGCACTTTTCTAGTTCTTTTGTGTATTTTGCTTATACAAATGGAAGTTACTGGGGGTCAGAGGAGCTCAAGTCCCCCCCCCAGCCCTACGCTTCCTACGCCTTGGGTTATCAGAGCGAGAGGGTTGTTGCCTGCACATATATTCTTACAAAGGTAGAATAAGTAAAACCAACTTAAATGTTCCAAGTTAAAAGAGAGACAATTTTAAGAGACAATACACTGTTGCATGTAATCAAAACAAAAACAAAAATGGGGCGATCGTCGTTTAAGCGTGGTGCTTCTAAAGATTTGAATGAGCTACCTTAAGAGCTGCGTACAATACAATCTTTATCCAACTTTAAAACTAAAGAATTTAATATTTTCTAAATATCGATAAAATAGAACTTATATGTAGTAAAATAATTACTTAAGTTTGATTTGTGTTTCTTTCCATAAAAATCCTTTACGATGCTGGTCACCGGTTAATACCAGCTATTTCTTGTAATTATGCTGATCTGTTTTTCCAGTTTATATAAAATCATTATTATTAATAATATAAAAAAATGAAAATCGTCGAAAATTATGGTTTTTCATGTTCAATTTACCTCTGTTTTGACAAATGTATCCTTCATATCCTTCTGGACAACTGCATGAGGTAGTAAATTTTGACAAGTCACTCAAACATTCACCGCCATTCAAACATGGACTATCTTTACATGGATCAACTAAAACAATTAAATACAGTTTGGTTATTTTCGTTACTGTATAGTATATTACAAATAATTATAGACACATTATCAGGGTCAAAATTTGATTTGTCAACCACACCAGCCTCATCCTCATCAATACCATTAACAATGACAATACAAGGAGAAGAACAAACGTAAAACGACTAACAACAACTACCACAATATGACGCACAATTCTTTCCTCAATCAACTACAACTAAAATCAAGGGCGGATTTTCATTTATTTAAAAGGAGGGGTAGAAAAATTTCTGATGGAGTGCAAGCGGCACCACTCAGTGAGCTTCGGCAGGGTTAGGCGTTTGGGTTAAAGCCTTTCACACAAAATACGAGGGATGAAGTAAAATTTTGGTTGGGTTGAACACTTTATTGGAGGGTTAGAGAGATTCTAGGGGGGGGGGGTTATCCCCCTCTAACCCCCTCAGTAAATCCGCCCATGACTAAAATGCTTTTTAACTGAAACAATAGGCCTGCTGGGCGTTAACCTCGGGTTGGTGCATAGGGCATCATCTGGTAAATATTCAAAAATCGTGTAAATCACGATAGTTTAATAGTTCACTTGTATAAATGGTGAATCAGTCAAAGCTCCGTTTTAACATTTTATTGATAACATTGAATTGTTGTCTTCCAGTTACAGCAAGAAACATCCATAAAATGCTTAGCAGTATCAAACAAGTGAAAGTTGGCCGCGGTATTCCCATGCTATGCATCAACATATACTCGAGAATAGTTATCCAGGTAAACATGTATGTCAAAATTATCACATCTTCTGGTTTTAAATCAACAATTTTGACGGATTTTGTGCAAGGACAGCTTCGGGTTCCGTTTCGCTTTGGCCGATGCTTGAAATTTCCCGGAAGTACACTTATTTTCCGGAAGTTGTCGTCTCCTCCGCAGGCTCTTTGAATACGCGCGCGGCTCGACACAAAATGGGAAAAAAATTAAAGAAATAGGGGCCGAATTTATGAGCTCGGTGTCGTAGCGACCAGAGATAAAAATATCTTAATTAAAAACAAACCTCTTGTTTCACAACTATCTCCTTCATATTGTTTTGTACAAGTACATTTAAACTTGTTTTCAATATTCTCACATGTTCCGTTATTATCACAAGGAGAACTATCACATGGATAAACTAAAAGAAATTAATGCCAATTATTTCATGAAATGTAATTGAAAGTAAAAAAAAATTGGGAAAATCAGCAATTAAATAACTGTATTATATCGTAACAAAAAAAAAAAAATAAAACAAAGCAAATTTATTTCAGGAAGTTTTACCTCTGTTTTGACAGATGTCTCCTTCATATCCTTCTGGACAACTGCATGAGGTAGTAAATTCTGACAAGTCACTCAAACATTCACCGCCATTCAAACATGGACTATCTTTACATGGATCAACTAAAACAAAATATACAAATTGGTTATTTTTGTTACTGCATAGTATATTGCAGATTGTTATAGAACACATTATCAGGGTCAAAATTTGATTTGTCAACTACACCAGCCTCATCAATACCATTAACAATGACAATCCAAAGAGAATAACAAAAGGAAAGCCACTTAACAACAACTACGACAATTCGATGCACAACTCCTTCCTCAATGAACTAAAATGCTTTTTAACTAAAGAATTATTTTAATTAAAGAACAAACCTCTTGTTTCGCAACTATCTCCTTCATATTGTTCTGTACAAGTACACTTAAACCTGTTTTCAATATTCTCACAAGTTCCGTTATTTTCACAAGGCGAACTATCACATGGATAAACTACAAAGCACAATAGCAATTTTTTCATAAAATCTAATTAAAAGCAAACCTTCGGCAATATATACGAATAATTATTAAATAACTGCATTATATCGTAAAAAAAGAAACAAAAAATGAAAGAAGCAAATTTACTTCCGCAAGTCTTTACCTCTGTTTTGACAGGTGTCTCCTTCATATCCTTCTGGACAACTGCATGAGGTAGTAAATTCTGACAAGTCACTCAAGCATTCACCGCCATTCAAACATGGACTATCTTTACATGGATCAACTAAAACAAAATATACAAATTGGTTATTTTTGTTACTGCATAGTATATTGCAGATTGTTATAGAACACATTATCAGAGTCAAAATTTGATTTGTCAACTACACCAGCCTCATCAATACCATTAACAATGACAATCCAAAGAGAATAACAAAAGGAAAGCCACTTAACAACAACTACGACAATTCGATGCACAACTCCTTCCTCAATCAACTAAAATGCTTTTTAACTAAAGAATTATTTTAATTAAAGAACAAACCTCTTGTTTCGCAACTATCTCCTTCATATTGTTCTGTACAAGTACACTTAAACCTGTTTTCAATATTCTCACAAGTTCCGTTATTTTCACAAGGCGAACTATCACATGGATAAACTACAAAGCACAATAGCATTTTTTTCATAAAATCTAATTAAAAGCAAACCTTCGGCAATATATACGAATAATTATTAAATAACTGCATTATATCGTAACAAAAAGAAACAAAAAATGAAAGAAGCAAATTTACTTCCGCAAGTCTTTACCTCTGTTTTGACAGGTGTCTCCTTCATATCCTTCTGGACAACTGCATGAGGTAGTAAATTTTGACAAGTCACTCAAACATTCACCTCCATTCAAACATGGATTACTTTTGCATGGATTGACTAGAACAAATATACAGTTTGGTTATTTTGGTTACAAATATGCTGCTTAACTAAAGTGTTGTCTTAATTAAAGAACAAACCTCTTGTTTCACAACTATCTCCTTCATATTGTTCTGTGCAAGTACACTTAAACTTGTTTTCAATATTCTCACATGTTCCGTTACTTTCACAAGGCGAACTATCGCATGGATAAACTACAAAGAAACAATAACAACTTTTTCATAATTGTATTATATCGTAACAAAGAAACAAACAATAAAAGAAGCAAACATATTTCCCCTAGTCTTTACCTCTGTTTTGACAAGTGTCTCCTTCATATCCTTCTGGACAACTGCATGAGGTAGTAAATTTGGACATGTCACTCAAACATTCACCTCCATTCAAACATGGACTATTTGCACATGGATCAACTGGAAGAAAGTATAGTTCGATTATTTTGCTTACTGCAATTACAAATAGTTATGCGCGTAACAAATGATTTTCAGGCCCAAAATTGAATTTGTCGACAACACAAACATCATAAATACCACGCACGATGAATAAAAACAACCACGAAAATTTCATTGACTATTATATTTTGAATTAACTGCAACCAAGAGACAGGTCAATTATTTTTGAACAAAATAATCTTTATATAGTTTGTTACTTTATATCAGTGACAGCGACAACAAAACGTGAAGCCAACGACAAAAACAAGAAAAACACCAACAACGACAGTGTGAATAACAATGAAATAGTAATGGAAAAAGAACTGAAATAAAACATCAACACAACAACAACAAAACAAGAACGGACCCAAGAATTATCTTATAACAAACCTCTTGTTTCGCAACTATCTCCTTTATATTGGTCTGTACAAGAGCACTTAAACCTGTTTCCAATATTCTCACAAGTTCCGTTATTTTCACAAGGAGAACTATCACATGGATAAACTACAAGAAATTAATGCCAATTATTTCATGAAATGTAATTGAAAGTTAAAGTCGGAATATGAACAATTAAATAACTGTATTATATGGCACAAAACAACAATAAATTCATGGCCAGAAATCGAGGTCAGCCAGCGGGTTGACCTGTGGGCTCAAAATCTCAAAAATTCAAAATGGCGGTTCGATTCTATAAGGGGAGTTATTGCAGAATATACCCGTTCACTTCTAAATACTTCACTCGTTATCATAACACGCGCGCAATAACGCAAAATATAGCTTACCCACGCTTTGAATTTATTTGGTGCATGCTTTTCAGCCATGTTGTCCTTCATTTCTGGCCATGTGAAAGAAAGCAAATATATTTCCACAAGTCGTTACCTCTGTTTTGACAGGTGTCTCCTTCATATCCTTCTGGACAACTGCATGAGGTAGTAAATTTTGACAAGTCACTCAGACATTCACCTCCATTCAAACATGGATTATTTTTGCATGGATTGACTGGAACAAATATACAGTTTGGTTATTTTTGTTTACTGCATGCATGTTACAAATAATTTACAACAAATTATCCCGCCCAAACTTTATTTGTCAACTACACCAACATCATCATCAAATAACAGACATCGATACTATCAACAGTGACAATGCAAAGAGAAGAGAAACCAAAAACGACTTAAAAATAACTATGAAAATTTGATGGACAATTCTCTCCTCGCTTAACTACAACCAACATGCTTTTAAGACTTTTAAACTTTTAACTAAAGAATTATCTTAATTAAAGAACAAACCTCTTGTTTCGCAACTATCTCCTTCAAATTGTTCTGTACAAGTACATTTAAACTTGTTTTCAATATTCTCACAAGTTCCGTTATTTTCGCAGGGAGAACTATCACAGGGATAAACTACAAAGAAACAATACTAGCAATTTTATTATTATTATTTATAATTACAGTATTTGAAAACGGTAGCCCTTCAGCGGTAAAGAAAAACTGATTTTCAAGGGGCCGTTTATGAATACATATATACATTGGTTAGAAATACAAAACACTTACTATCTATTTACAACTATTATATACACAAAAGGGAATTATGTTAATTAACTTGTCGATGTATTTCCCTCCAAGTCCTTGTAGTGATGATTTAATAAAGTTTTAAAAGAATACAAGGAAAGTTGGTATACAAAAATCTACTTAAAAGTAAATGTTCGGCAATATATACGAATAATTAAATAATTGTATTGTATCGTAACAGAAAATAACAAAAATAAAAGAAAGCAAGTATATCTCCGCAAATTTTTACCTCTGTTTTGACAGGTGTCTCCTTCATATCCTTCTGGACAACTGCATGAGGTAGTAAATTTTGACAAGTCACTCAAACATTCACCTCCATTCAAACATGGATTATTTTTACATGGATTAACTAAAACAAAATATAATTCATTATTTTGGTTACTGCATATTACAAATAATTTTACCACAAATGAATTGAATTGAATTTATTAATTTGCCACAATTGGTTGATGCAACAATTTACAAAAGTGATAAGAAATGAAAAATTGTGACGAGGTAGTCCAACTAGAAGCTAAGGCTTATTAATTGCTAGACTACCTCATGTCAAATATTAAAGAATAAGTTATCGAAATATATATGAGGTAGAATAGTGAGCAGACATATAATGAGGAAAAGAATATAATACAAGGACACACACATAATATCAAAACGAAGATACTTAGATCCACACACCCAGATGTAAATTAGATACTATTTAGTTACAGTCATCGGACAAATTATCGAAAATTAAATGCTTTTTAAGATTCGAATAGAAGGAATAGATAGACATGGCGTTCCGTAAATTCTGGTCCAAGGAGTTAAAAAATGCCGGACCTTGATAGTAGACAGAAAATTGTCGTAATTTTGTTCTACAAAATGGTATACTAATTAGGTTCGAACTTCTGGTATTGTAGCTATGTACCTCGCTATTTATCAAACACAAATTCTCATAGCTGGGAGGAGGAGCATTTCTAGAAGCAAGATACATAAATTGTCTCAAGCAGAATAGATAAATATTATTCAGTTTGAGAATCACACTCTCTTTAAATACAGGAGAAGTATGAGCATCATATTCCTACTAAACTCAGGTATATATCTCTTCTGCCTAGTTTTTGAAAATCATATAACTAGATTTTGGAATATTAATTGAACGTTTATTGGTTTTAAACCACTCGGACAGCTTGAGCAATTCACTATTTATTGTATTCATCATAAACGAAAGATCGTTGTGAGAAAGAAATAGATTAGTATCGTCAGCAAATAGGATAAAATTAAGAATACTGGAGACAATGCAAATATCATTTATATACAACAAGAAGAAAAGTGGACCAAGAATTGATCCTTGGGGAACACCGCATTTAATTTCATTAGAAGATAATTGAATACCATTGTATTCAACAAATTGGTATCTATCACTAAGATAATTTCTTATTCAATCGAGTGCTAAACCACGGATACCATAATGCTGCAATTTTTCGAGCAGTATCTTGTGATTTACAATGTCGGATGCCTTTGAAAGGTCGATGAAAATACCAAAAGTGAATTTCTTCTGATCAATAGAAGAGGTTATACTGTCAACCAGGTGCAGAAGTACTAAAGCTGTCGAATGGTTTTTTCTAAAGCCATACTGGTTATTGAACAGAACCTCATTTTTGTTTATGAAATCCATAATGCGGCTACACACAGCCCTTTCTAGTAATTTGGAAAATATTGGCAAAATCGATATAGGTCGATAATTGGAGAATAGATTGTTTGGTCCAGATTTATAAATGAGTACAACTGTAGCGATTTTCATCTGGTCGGGAACTATACCAGATTCAATTGACAAGTTTACAATATGAGTTAAAGGTTTGCAAATGTTGAGGAACAAAATTATTTTAAAGACGCTGGCCAGCGTCATCATTATCAAAAATTACAATAACAATCCAAAAAGAACAACAAATTGAAAACAACTATTTTTCTCGGAATATTTTTATCGACTATTCTTTCCTGACTCAACTACAACAAAGATGCAATTTCACTAAAGAATTATCTTTATTAAAAAACCAACCTCTTGTTTCACAACTATCTCCTTCATATTGTTTTGTACAAGAGCATTTAAACCTGTTTCCAATATTCTCACAAGTTCCGTTATTTTCACAAGGAGAACTATCACATGGATAAACTACAAGAAATTAATGCCAATTATTTCATGAAATGTAATTGAAAGTTAAAGTCGGAATATGAAGAATTAAATAACTGTATTATATGGCACAAAACAACAATAAATTTGAAAGAAAGCAAATATATTTCCGCAAGTCTTTACCTCTGTTTTGACAGGTGTCTCCTTCATATCCTTCTGGACAACTGCATGAGGTAGTAAATTTTGACAAGTCACTCGAACATTTGCCTCCATTCAAACATGGATTATTTTTACATGGATCAACTGGAAGAAGTTAATTTAATACATAGTTCGATTATTTTGCTTATTGTAAATTACATGAAATGATTATACAAGAAATTATCAGCCCCAAAATTTCATTTGTCAAGTATACTAGCATCATCCTCGTCAATACCAAGAATGACAATCCAAAGCAGGTGCGGATCTAGGATTTTTCAAACATAAGTCGAACGCCGAAGGCGTGAGACATGCTAGGGGGGCCTGGGGGCATGCCCCCCCCGGAAAAATTTGAAATCTAGAGTCTCTGAAATGCGATTTCAAGCGTTTTGGCGGTGAGATTTTACAGAATTCCAAAGATTATAAAGTACATCAAGCACATGCTTTTTTATGATCTCACAAACGTGCCTTCTCCCAGTCCTCGGAATTAGACTTACTAACGGAGGGTCATATTACAAAACACATCATGTAGTTTCAACTTTCAATATATAGCGTTTGAGTTTGGCTCATGAAATCCTTCGCAAATTGAAGTGATATGATACCAATGACCGATCCAATATAACTCGCTGTTTGTGAATCAAAATTCTCAAGCAAAATAAAGAGTAATATTTCAATTATACTTTGTAAAATGCATTTTTTATTCAATGAATTACAATATGCTATAAATATCACTTGTATATTATAACGATATTCATCGCAAATCTTTCATGCAATGCAAATCATCCAAATTATATTGTTTAAACACTCCAATGGCAATGCTCTATTCTGGCCCTTTTTATAATGGGCAATGCATTTATAAATTATAAATACAGCAGGAAAGCTAATAGGCCCGAAAACACATTATAAGTTGCAAGTCGATTGCGTGTAAAAATGTATTAAAGCGTGTTATATTTCAACTTCGCATTTATCATACAAGATACATTGCAATATAGTCATTTGATTTCTGTTTCATAATTTTGGATATTTTCATACATTATAGGCGCTATAAATTATAGCAGTGTACACTTTCCTTTGACTTTACCACCCAAATTACGACCATGATCTTTGTGAAGCACGTAGCAGAGAAGTCCCAACTTAGTGCCTTCTCGTTGTTGAACAGAACAACATTATAAAAGCTGCTCGCTTGATATCTTAGCTGCCCCACAATAATCCTCATTCAGAGACAATTCAAGTTTATTAAAGGCCGTTAAATCGTCTCGTAAAATCGGCCGCGCACATATAAATACTCGACATCGTAAAATAATTCTCCCAACTATAAAAAACCTTCATATACGGGAATATGAAAGACTGCTTTGCATGAATTTCGCAATTTTCAAGGACTGATATCCCCTGCCGCGAATAAGTCCGAATCTAAGAATTGTCAATAATTTCAAATTGACCAATCAAAATGAAAGAAATGGACTGATAAAAACTCCCTTAAAGTGCAAATCAGTCGGACCACCCCATAAAAACTCCCTTAAGTTGCAAATCAGTCCGACCACCCCACAATATTTTCAAATTGACCAATCAAAGGAACGAAATGGACAGAAAAAGACTCCCTTAAAGTGCAAATCAGTCCGGCCACCCCACAGATCAGTCGAGATAAGTCCAAATGACCTCTCGACCAATCAAATGAGCATAACGACCACCCGATTCTGCGAGATTCTTGCGTTTTACCGCTGCTCTAGATAAAGCATATATTTATTCAAAACTGAGCTCGTAAAGACGTATACTGGAGTACTGGAGTACTGGACTATGATATGAATTTCATATTATATTCGGGAATTAATTATTCAAATTTCGAAATAATAAATTAATTATTTCTTTGCAAAAAATACGTCAGTCACGCGACTGATTGGACTTACCCTAGATCCGCCCCTGATCCAAAGTGAACAATTTACAAACAGAAAGCGACTTAAAAACTAGTAAATAACAATCCACGAAAATTTGATGGAATATTATTTCCTGAAAAACTGCAACAAAGATGATTCTATTAACTGGAGAATTATTTTAATTTAATTAAAGAACAAACCTCTTGTTTCGCAACTATCTCCTTCATATTGATCTGTACAAGTACATTTAAACTTGTTTTCAATATTCTCACAAGTTCCATTATTATCACAGGGAGAACTATCACATGGATAAACTACAAGAAATTAATAAGCAATTATTGGATGAGGCTGAGCATGATATCAAGAATTATTCAGACCGAGGTCAATGTTATCTGCCGAAGCGAAGCTGAGGCGGATAACATAGACCGAGGTCTGAATAATTCTTGATATCATGCGAAAGCAGAATCCAATAATTGTTTTATTATACATTTAAAGACATGAGAAACGTATAAAACGATTCCTGTTCATGAGGTAGGAAAAGTACAATGTGAATATCAAACATCTTGCACAAAGTCAAAGGTCAGCTAAATATTATATTTCTACTTCTATTTACCCCTTTGTGGCTTTTTTCGTGCTTTCAGTATCCTTATCTGCCAATAATTTGGAGAGTTCACTTTCATTCAGCGAAGCAAATCTCCTGTCGGCCATTGTTTGGTTTTTTTCGCGCGCTTATAGGTTCAAGCTTTTGGCCGCGCAAGGGTTTGGGCACGAGAGAGTCCAATAATTTTTTTTTTGGATGCAAGTTCGATCCAAAAAAACAATTATTGGACGCTGATGACGTCATCGGCGGAAAATACGTAATAAATGCCGAATACTGAAAATTAGCCGGTGCTTTCTGACCAATTAGAAACGAGAATACATATTAAATGTATAATAATGCCAATTATTTCATAAAATGTAATTGAAAGTAAAAAAAATGGGAAAATCAGCAATTAAATAACTGTTTTATATCGTAACAAAAAAAAAATGAAAGAAAGCAAATTTATCTTCGCAAGTCTTTACCTCTGTTTTGACATGTGTCTCCTTCATATCCTTCTGGACAACTGCATGAGGTGGTAAATTTGGACAAGTCACTCAGACATTTTCCGCCATTTAAACATGGATTAGTATTGCATGGATCGACTGAAACAACATTATTTTTTGGTTATTTTGCTTAATTCATGTATATTAATAAATCACAAATTTTTAAGGCCAAATTCAATTTATTGACGGCACCAGCGTCATCAATAGCAATACGATCAACAACAACAATACCAGAGAGAACAATTAACGGAAAGGAACAACAACAGCGCGATAAGTTCATGGACTTTTCGCACACGAAACACCTGCAACAAAAGATGCCCTTAACAAGAACATAAACAACAACAACAGCCACACCAACAATAACAACAACAACAGCAGCAGCAATAAGATCTTTCCAACATGTGCCGACGACGACAAAGGATAAGAACAATAACACCGAGAAAGATGAAGACAAGAACATAAATAAATGGGAACAAAAACATCACACAACAAAAAAACAACAACTGAGGATAAATAAAGAATCTCATTAATTAATTAATATAAATCTGCAACAAACCTGCTGTCTCACAATGATCGCCCTGATACTGTTCCGTACAAGTACACTTGAAACTGTTTTCAATATTCTCACAAGTTCCGTTATTATCACAAGGAGAGCTATCACATGGATAAACTAAAAGAAATTAGACTTATAAATTTCAAACTATTTTTTTTCTCTAAATCCGAAACTTCATTTGGCATCAATTTGCATTGTTGCGTGAAATATAGATAATAGTTTCCCGTTTCCAATAGATTTTGTTTCCTTTCTTTCAATGGACGAAACCTGTACGGCTGTAACAATGTTTCTTCATTTCAAATTTCACCTTTGTTTGCATTGGAGTATTGTGCTTCTTTTTCATTAAGAATACAAAAAGCTTTTAAAGTTAGCATTTCACTGCCATCCAGCACTACATATTAACTACCACTATTTATTCAAACAATTTAAATATATAACTCATCTGTAGATTCGCAAACTGGAGCGTAGATTCGCAAATAAGGCCGTTGCCAGGCCCAAAAGAATGGGAGGAGGTCTAACCGGCGGCCTGCCTGGGGCATGCTCCCCCGGAAGATTTTCTTATGTGTAAGGTCTGAAAAATACTATTTCATGCATTTCATGCACGTTTTATGATTATTTGAAAGCCATAGATTGGTATATTTTTGTCATACATAAAAATAAGTACGCCTCCCCCTTGTTTTTCCTTAGTTTTGAAAGAATTACAAAATTGTTCCTAAAGACAAGGCTTTATAGTTTTGTCTAACATCTTTTTCCGAATGTTTAATTACCTCTCTTTTCACAAACGGTTCCTTCATATCCCTGAGGACACTTGCAGTAGACATCACTTGTCTCCAGCTCACTGAAGCATTTTCCGCCATTTTGGCATGGAGAAATTTTGCAAGGATTCACTAGATAAAAGAAAAAAAAAATAATTGGTTATTGCCTAAAGGCCCGGTCACACTACACAACGATAACGATACGATAAATTGTAAACACGCGATAATTGGCAAAAAAATTGTGTTAGTGTCCATACTACAACGAAAATAATAAAATTATCGTTTGACGATAACGATAACGATTTTAAAATCGCTCACCCGAGCGATTTTTTTTTCAGTCGAACGATAACGATAAATATTTGACCAATCAGCGCGCGTATATAAGTTATCGTATCGTTATCGTTGTGCAGTGTGACCTGGGCTTAACACTTGCTATCCAGTGATAGAAATATTCTATTATCTCTTTATTGTTTAAAAAACTCATCGTTTCCATGGCATCATGATAATCACGTATTTCAGACGTGTTTTTTGACGTTATGCAAATGGTTATTATCACAGTAATATTACTACGAGGTTATGTATAAAAGCAATTGGTCCATAACACTAGGTTTCTTGTACAAAGTTTTCAACTGCTTGACCCCTTCGAGTAATTAAGGAAAAATATTAATTGCAAAATCAATTCCTGGTTTCCAATTTTATGTCTTAATTTCATTTTTAATTATTTCTTACTATGAGAATGGATGTTCGCCATTAGTTTGCATTTGCATTTAACGAAATTTTCATTTCCTTATTCCAGTCTTTGTCCTGGGAATCTTTGTTCCAAACCTAACCCTAATTTTTCAACCCTTAATAATAACCCTACATTTGATATTACTCCCAACCATTAAGCGAAACCTCATTATAGGATCTTAACCCGCCTTATAGGATTGGACTATACCCGTGTACGGGATAGAAGCGGTTTGAATATGTTAGTTTTCTTGACTTTTATAGCATGGCTATACTTGTCTTTTATATTGTGAGATTTGAATTAGTTATATCATGAGCTTACGAAGGAAAACAGTCAGGTACATTTGTATTGTCTTTATTTTTTTTGTAGTAGTGTTTGCATGTGTAATTTCTTTTGATTAGGTACTTGTCAATGTAAACTTTATGTTCGTAGAAACCACATAAACACATGTGGGTAAACACGTGTCGTCATAATTGGATTGGGGATGTATTGATATTGGTTTCGCTGCGTCTTCCTGCAAAACTCTTTCGATTGGAACCTACACTAACCCTAAATGTAATCCTACCCTAACGTGCACTTAGAATAATTTGAGGGAGTGGAAGGGGGATACCGCCCTCCAAGCCCCCCTCTCAATCGCCAGGCCATCCCTAACCGAACCTTCACCTATTGCTCTCTAACCAAGCCCTAACCTCTTTGCGAACACGTTTTTCCTTTCCAATCTTCTGTACATTTGCAGGTAAATTGATTTTTATTACTTTGACATGTGCCATTGTTTTCACAAGGGTTGTAGAAACATGGGTTAACTGAAAAGAGAAGAGGAAAAAACTAATTTAGAAAACAATACTAAATGCCTTGTAAAACTAAAGTTGCATCTAACTATGTTCTCACTAATAACCATGTCCCATGTGACAACAGGTATTAACTTATATGGTCTTCCATAATGCTCTGAAGATGCTGCAAGAAGCGACGAAATGTTAGGCAAAATAATTCGTTCACATAACTGAACTGTTTGAAGTTCTCAGTCTCATTTCTGTTTCAAGTGGTTGTCTAGGGCATAATACATTTAAATTAGGGGCGTGGCCAGCCCCAAATAAGAGGAAGGGGCTCAAATACACAGAACAACTATGGGCTTCGGTCGTCTGGGGCATTGTCCCCCAGAAAATGTTTCTACTTTTAGTGTATAGGAAGCTCTATTTCATGCCCGTTTCATGATAATCATGTCCATACCATATAACAATAATCAAGCAAGAATTAAAGCTTCATGTTGCGTATTAACAAGTGCCTGACCGTCATAAATGGAAGTGTCAGTTTGGAAATTGGAGTACGCAGTCAGAAGAAATAAAAGAGAGCAACTGCTCTTCTAACACACTTCTGAAGGTTCACCCTTTTCCAATTCCTTGTTCAAGCATGTCCTTCATACACCCTCCTCCATATCCCTATTCACACTACTGACGAACCCGTACGTCAAGAGCTCCTGTCTAAAACCAAGGCATTGTTAAACGGCTTCAATAAATCCAAGTTTCCATATGGTCGTAACGGTCGTAATCGTAAAGGTTTATAATATTTTTATCTGCAAACCACATATAAATTGCAAATATACGCTCTATTTATTATCATTTTGCCTACTTTCAGTTCTAAACTGTTGTATTTCAACGGTTGAGAAAAATCGTTATTCAATCTTTACGTCCATTAGGACCATATGGAAACTAGACTTAAAGGAAAACTACAATAATTTACCGTAGGGTTCACAATCCCCTCGTGGTTGGCGGCTCCAAAATTCGACATCCGATTTTGTACCACACCATGCTACTGAATCCGCCTTCTGTGTACATGCATAGTAGGTAACGCTGGCGTAGGTGAAAGGAAACACACAACAATCTCCGTCTGTAGTTTGAACTTCACAAGCTAGAAATAAGAAGATGGACAATATTGCGCGAGATACACTCTAAAAGCACCCTGGTTAAAATTCCCTGGTTAATCTATAATTAACCCTGCTGTGGGTAACTTTATGTTCCAGGTTAACTGTCCTAGTTCATTTAACCACAATCCTCGTTAATTTGATCATAGTCGTGACTAATTTAACCAGGATTCTTGGTAAAATATGGTTGAACCACATTATGTTATGGTAGTCGACCAACATAATCAGTTTAATTCAACCATTTAGCCTGGTTAATTTAACCAAGAATCCCGGTTAATTTAGCCAGAGCAGCAACAACCGCAACAACAATAACGGCAACGCCAACGACTTCAACGACGACAACGACATCGTTAACAATTTTGACATAGACTTACTTTTCAACGCGCAATAACCATATTTCTTGTCTTTATCATAATCTGAAGTTAGTGAACACCAAGGTTTCCCATTCGATGAGTCAGTGAATGTACACGAGCTGTAACTATTGCTGTTGTACTTAAATGGAAATGCACAACAGTCACCTTTCTCTGTGGTGGTACAACCTGGAAAAGAGAGAGTCTAAGCAAAACAAAACAAGGATGGATTTGTAGACCGGCAGGGGATAGTCAGCCCCAAACGCGTGTAGGGGGCGTCTTATGGTCCAACTGACTGGGGGCATGGTCCATCAGACCTATGATCATACCCCGACAATATGAAAGCCATGCAAAGATTTGGTATATTTTATGTCATCAGATGAAATCATGAAAAGGTTTCTTCACTGTTTTGAAACAATTAACAATCAACGAACAATGGGCGGAGAGGTCCGGACCCTCCAATTTCCTCATGCCTACTGTATGTCTCTGTGTCCAGGAATACACTAGCTTCCACCATAGTCAGCGGACCCATGTGGGCTACAGATGATGAGACTAAACCGCAAAGTCCCTTCCCCCCCAAAAAAACCCACAAAGATTAGACTGGGTGAACTTGATGCAAGGAATTCTGATGATCTTGGGACGCTTGGGTACGAAGCAGTGTTACAACAATGGTAAATATCTGTCTGTCTGAGTTGTAATAGTGTATCATACTTTGTAGTGGCAAAGCTAGCCATAGCAACAGAGCAACAGTTATGCTATGCAAATTTTAATGGTTTGCAGTATTCATGCAAACTTTTAGAAATGTATTGTCTTTAACATATTTATACAGATGCAGGTTTATTAGCATTGCATGACCACTGCTATTTCTCTGTAATCTTCTCCACTGATATTTTGCTGTAATAAAACTGTATACATTGCAATTAAGCCCCCGAAGATTTCTTCAATAACGCGTACCTGTATTCGCTTCAGCAAGGACGATTGCCACTGACATTAATGGCACCAGGTAAACTTTCCACATTTTGCCAGTCTATATTAAGTAAGAAATATATCCTGTTTGATATGATTAATAACTATATTTATTCAAGAATCAGATCTAATCATATTTTACAAGATTAGCTTCGAGAAATACTGAATATATCGATAAAATTAAAACAAATTATGGAAAAATTCAGTCATATAGATTTCAAGGCCCTAAGGCATGGATAATGAACGCATGTGTACCAGTCGAATGAAAATTTGGAATAACAAGCGGCTGCCAAAAGCATCGCGATAACTTGGATGTTGATGTTAGGTCATTAGATTAGATTAAGATCTTACGGAAACCAGATCTCTTTTTAGTTGCGTTCGTGTGTTGGGCGGGGATGGCACCTGACCTGAGAAAGTATTAATGAATGTAAATAGAATATGTAAAACCACATAGCCAGAAACCACCGACATCCTTGATCTGCGCATGCGTCTGATTTAATTTCCCCAAATGGCGGCCAGAGACCTTATGAATTATTATAGAGAAATTGTATATTAATAATAATATAGAATCTTTAGATAGACTACCTCCATCAAGGGGGCCCAATTTCTCCATAGGGGACCCGCTAATGCTGTACTTGTGAAACGGGTTAAATATTTGGGTATTGTAAAAAATTCAGGTCGAAAAATTCTGTGAAACGTATTAGTTTTTAACTCCCTTTTATGCAATAACGTTCAGGAAACTTTTTGGGGGCTTTTATTTTCGGGAAAAGTTAACCTCCCCGCTCGCCCACATTTTTTTGTGGGGGGAGGGGGCAAAACGTTTCAGTTCATCTTCCCAAAGACACATCGATCGGCATGCACGACCCTGACCAGAACTGATATTTTTTTGAATAGTCCAAACATTAAATAACCGTGTTTGTCTAATATATATTTTAATATTCTCAGAAAATAAATTAATATTTCTGGCCATGGGTAACTAGACTCGTTTAGTTTTGCTATTTCTTATTACCCGTGCCACGTATTCGTGTAATACAGAAATTTAAAAAAAAATTGTAAATAGTTAGTAATTGCGTGGTACAAATATCTTGTTCTTTACTTTCTCGGCATTCCACTCCGGTACCAGAATTTTGAAACGATGCCAAGCATATTCATATATTCGTGTTCTGCCCTACACCCATATATTCGTGTTCTGCCCATATATTCGTGTTCTGCCCGATTGTTATTAGGGTATTTGAGCATGAATATGTGAATACATCCCCCCCCCCCCCAATTATCGCGTTTAGCTACGGCCCTGATGTAACGGTCAATGTGAATAAATTTTAAAACCCGCATAGAAGCATTAACATACAGGGTGTCCCAAAAAAAACGAAAACCATTGAAATAAGTATTGTTAGAACTTGAATGCCCTAGCACTAAGCTGAACGCAAAGATGCGTAAAATATTGTCAAGGATGCATATATTACATATTGACTTATTAAGAAATTAAAATATCTTTGTAAAGCGCACGATTTTCTGCTCTTGGGAATTTAAAGCAGCTTCCTAAACGGTTTCTTTATGCATAAACTTTACTTACGTCAAGTTTTGATGCACGTGTGGGTTCAGCAAAGTGCTGAGGCATTCAAATTCTAACAATATATACATTTATTTCAATAGTTTTCGTTTTTTTGGGCCACGCCCTGTATGTGTATTCTCTCCAAAGTCCCATGACTTGAAAAGGATATTGGGGTTGTTATTAAAATAACCACAGTAATGTTCTCCGATCACTCAAATGCCTACAAGTCCATATCCTATCTCATAAAAATACAGAACTGCGGTTGTAAGCGAATTCATTTTATTATTCTTAATTTATGCATGTACGCTTGATATATTTGTTGGAATTTTCCCCCTTTCAACAAAGAACACTCTTGTGGTCTACAGTTTGGTGCCAAAGCTCATTCTCGAAGTCAAACAGCCAACACTTGAATGGCCACGAACAATGTCTTTAACAACGCGCCTTATTTTAATGAGAAAATATTTTTAAATTAATTATATTATGCAAAATTTTCTTATACGAACAAGCAGTTCGAGCGAGATTGAGTCACTCAAACTTACTTGCTTTGAATTACTAGAAAGTAAAAAAGGGAACTTTTTTACACAAATAAAACAGTGTAAACAGAACCTTGTTTCAGGTTTAATATTCATACTGATATAATGTATTATACGTTATTCAGGTTTATTCAAAGATTCATAAAAATTACTACAAAGAGGTCTAAAGGCTCTTTTCCCCCCTTGCAATATCCAACTCTCAAGCTCGCTGTGAATGCTTGCATCTGATTAAAATAAACTGTCGAGCATTGTGATTGGATGAAAGTACTCATAGCGAGTTCACTCTTGTGCTGAGTGGAAAAGAGTCTTTAGGCCCCGTTTACATGATTATGAGACCAAGACGAAGTCAAATGGGAATGAAAATTGAAATTGTCAACATGTTTACATGAGACCGGTACGAAAATCACAAAATTTACAATTTATTCTCCTTGCCAGGCAATTTTCTTTTTAGATAGTTTTTGTTAGCATGTGTTGTTCCAATGTCAAGCTAGCTTACAGCCGAGACATTCATCCCAGTCTGAATTCATGCCGGTCTGAATTCATGCCGGTCTGAAGTCAGTCGGCTCGGTCCAGCAGGCGGAATGACTTGAGACCGGTCTGAGTTATTTTCGTCATGTAAACATCTATTATAAATAATACTATGACCGAAATGAAATGGTCTCAGTTTGACTTCGAATAAATGTGGACGGGCTCTAAGGCCCGGATGAAACGAGAGTGCATGAGAGTTGGCAGTCACGCGATCTTGGTTAGCTGTTCTTGATGCTTTCCCAACACTATCTTAACATTATCATGTATTTTATTGAAGTTAACGAGTAGTTGGAACACTTGAAACCTTCATTTTGTTAGTCTAGAGCTTGAAATGTCCTCCGTAACAATACGCGACTGCCAAGTCTCGTTTGACTAGGACTTTATCTCAGCCATACATGCAAGTATATTGATGAAAAATAAATGAAGCATTAAGTAATACACAATATCCACACTCATAGGAAATTCAGTATGGTATAATACAGTATTGTGAATACTCAAGAATTATGATATTGAATACTTAATTTTTCATTGTGTGCTGTTCATACACATGTATACTGAATATACTAGGGCGCTTAACATTAACATAGCCAGACCGGTGAGAAATTGTTGAAAAAATTGTTGAAATTGTCAAATTGTTGAATGGAACACAAAACGTTTGGGCTTCGTACCTATCTGACCGGAAAATTTAGATAAAATTAGAATGAGGTCCATTTTCGCATAGACCAGAAAACATACACCAGATCTTCCATTGATACAGAGACAAAATCTGGTCTGACTGCTCAGGCCATTAAATGGAAAGCGCCCTAAATTAGCAGGTAGCGGATTAATACAACTGCTAGAAAAGGAGAATTTCGACGTTTGGAGCGAAGGGCCTTCTTCGGGAAGCTGCTAGCCAACTAATTAATATTCCTTATTATTGGCACAACCTCAAGTGGCGTTCAAGATTATATACTAGGACGTATTTTAAATAACACAGAGTTAACGTATATAGCTTACCAATTTCTTCTGGTTTCTAGATCCAACCTTCGTAAGAGACCAAGCGTTTGTGTACGACCGACGCTGCTTGCAAACGTATATATGATGCTGCGGTGCTCACCTGACGCAGTAGTTGTAGCGCTTCATTGCACGAAATGCTTGACTGCATAGACATACAAAGGATGTTTCAAATCTGTTTGTGGCGTTATTCAATAGCGCAGAACCAACGCAATCATGCAATTAGTGAGTTTCACGAACAACAACGGCGACGGCATGGCTTTACAGCCGGTGTATAAAAGCAACCTCGGAATTTCGCACGAAATCGACATTGTTTTAAGGACAAACGTTTTTAGGTGCCTGGGGAATTTAAAATAGCACAACTGTCAAAATTACTGCACACGCGAGTGCATAAAGCAAAATTTATGCATTTATTTAATAAACTTAATAAGTTTTTATTTTACAAGTACAGTATGGGGTATAAAAAAAAACGCAACCTCGGAATTTCCTAAGAAATCACCTTGCAATTCTTAAGCATAAAAGATTTTAGGCCCCTGGGAATTGAAATCGAATTGCTAATAGATCATACAGTATTGCTGTTGTTGTGTTGACAGTTGTGCTATTTTAAATACCCAGGCGCCTAAAATCTTTTGTCTTTAAAACAATGTCGATTTCTTGGGAAATTCCGAGGTTACGTTTTTTTTTATACACCCTGTACATGTACAACCACAGTAAGACAATAGATAATGAGCTGAAATGCCTCATTATCTATTGTTTTTAATGTATTCGGCACATGTGAAGTACGGCGTATGAAACGGGCCTTATATGATCTATTGGCAGTTCGATTTCAATTCCCAGGGGCCTAAAACCTTTTATGCTTAAGAATTGCAAAGACAAAGTGGATTTCTTAGGAAATTCCGAGGTTGCGTTTTTTTTTATACACCCTGTATACAGGGTGTCTCAAAAAAAACCAAAATCATTGAAAATAACGTATTGTTCGAATTTCAATGCCGTAACACAAAGGATTTTGACAAGGGTGATTAATTTGTTTTAAAAAATTAAAATATCTTTGTAAAGTGAACGTTTGTTTGCTCATGGGAATTTAAAAATGCTTCGTAAATTGTAATATGCGTAATATGTATTCGTGGGTTTAGTACTTTATGCCTGACATAACAAGTTTACGCTGAGTATTACCATTCATTATAGCAGTTATGTCAATCTTTTATGCACTCGTGGGATTAACTTAGTGCTAGGGCATTGAATATCGAACAATACGTCAATTTCAATGATTTTGGGTTTTTTTGAGACACCCTGTACAGGAAACAAAATTACTCATACTTTTGTATTCGAGCTAACACATACACTACCAAAATTTTAAAAGCACTTACCTTGCTCTCATTCCCTGAAGTATAGCAATAGTAAGTGAATTGACATAAAACACCCAAAATTAGCGTGGTCGTGAGCCGTGAAAATTATGTAAAAAAAACCGCGAGTTCGAGACCCAGCCGCGGCAGACAACATTTTTCTGCTTGCGCTGGGTATGGAAATTATATAATACACACTCTAGAACATTTTCATCTTAACATATTACAGAGTGTACAATTACACAACTAACATATATACATATATATATATATATATAAGATTTTGCACTGATCTATTCTTGATAGAACTAATTGTTGAATGGCTTTGTTGATAGAAATTTCGAGTGTGAATTTTTTACATTTATTAAAGCCATCAGGAGTAGATGCATTTTCCTAAATGCTCGTGCAGGTCATATAGTAGGTCTAATAAACGTATAAAATTCCATCTACAAAATCTTCTGCAGTACAGGGTGTCCCAAAAATAACAAACTATTGAACTAATGTATTAACTGTTAGAATTTGAATGCCCTTTGGGCACCGAAGCTGAACGCAAAGATGCGTAAAATATTGACAGGATGCATATATTAAATAGTGACTGATTAAGAAATTAAAATATCTTTGTAAAGCGCACGATTTTCTGCTTTGGAAAATTAAATTCTAAACGAGAATAACTTAGTCTTAGAAGATATACAATTATACAAATTAGTCATGTGAGTTCGGGAGAAAATGGTTTAACTCACCACAGAACAACGAGTTTTACTTCGTCTTGTCTAACGTAAAAATAATTAACGCTGAGTATCACATAAATTCTTTTAAACAGTTCTTTTTGCATAAAACTAACTTATGTCATGCTTTTATGCACTTGTGGATTCAGCAGAGTGCTAAGGCATTCAAATTCTAACAATACGTTATTTCAATGAGTAAAATCAATCATTGACAAACGGATCGGGAGTTCAATTGTTGCTATAATAAGCAAAACAATAAATGTTTGAACCTTAGCTTTGAACGCAATTGAACAATCTGTTATGCATGAGCTGTTTCTAATTTCATGACTCTGGTTTGTTGACAATTAAACTTCTTCAGCACGCAAGAACGGTCCATACTAGTGTCGATAATAACACGAGATAGCTGATGAAGGAACAAGCTGTTAACTGGCAATTTGTAACAACCTTGTTGATATTATCAGTCCTGTTTCAAACGTCGTGCTTCTCGTGTGCCGAACGCATTAGAAAAATAGATAATGACGCATTTCAGCTGATTGTCTATTGTATTTAATTTGCTCGGCACATGAGAAGCGCGACGTTTGAAACAGGCCTCAGACTTGTTGCAATGTTGTTCCAACAAGTCCGATACAATCATGATACAACAATATTGTTACAACCTTGTGTCGTCCACCTTGTAACATTCTTGTTATGTCACGACTGTATCAGACTTGTCAGAACGTAACAAGTCTGATAGTGCCATCAAGCTTGTTACAAGTTGTTGACTACTTGTTACAAACTTGTTACAACAACTGGGAACAAGCTGTGCGAACACAACTTGTCGACACGCTGTGAATAGATTTCCAACAACTTGTTTGCAGACTTGTAACAACTTGTGCGTTTTTACGTGTGTAGAGAGTACTAGCTTATATGATTTATATATGGTTTACAGTAAAACCAGGCTTTAAAATTAAAGTGTATTTTTTTAGGTACTTTCCATGCACATATACGCGCACGCGTTTTCGTGGGTGAGTTGTATGCTTGAAATTCCATAGTGTAACTCAAGGTGTAAGCTGGTTGCATGGGACAGTTAAGCAAAAATTGTGCAGTTTAAATCGGCCGCTTGTGTGTGGTTATAAACATTTTGAGATGATTGTGAATGATGAATATAATGAGCTTGAATCAGAGGTTGTTTTGTATTAGTGTGAACTACCATGAGCGGTGTTAATAGAATAGATGGTTTGGAAACGCATTAGAATAACAATATAACTCCTATGTTAGTCAACGTTTATTCATATATCTGCTCCTTCACCGTCACCGTGTGTATTATATTTTTGCCAAATCCACCAATACTCAATAGCAATTTCAAATTATTTTACCCTATTGTTCGAGTCACGGATAGGTAACTTTCTTAAGACTCGTTGCTATTGGTTAATTGGGCAAAAATACAGGGTGTACAGTATAAAAAAACCCGCAACCTCGGAATTTCCCAAGAAATCGACATTGTTTTAAAGACAAAAGATTTTAGGGGCCTGGGAATTTAAAATAGCTCAACTGTCAAAATTACTGCACACGCGAGTGCATAAAGCAAAATTTATGCATTTATTTAACAGTACAACAACAGTGATATGATCTACTGTATTAGCAATTCGATTTCAATTCCCAGGGGCCTAAAATCTTTTATGCTTAAGAATTGCAACGTGAATTTCGTAGGAAATACGTATTTTATACACCCTGTACAATACGCACGCTGAATAAGATAGATAACGAGTTAAATTGTTATTCTAATGAGTTTCCAAACCATCTATTCTATTAACTATGGTTGGACAAAATAACAGTTGAATTAGCTTTGTTTGATTCTATATATATTAACAGTATTTATTCAGACGTTCGTTCAAACGATCTGTACTCTTATCAATTGGAAGTGCTTTTAAAAGTTCAGGGCCTGTTCACATGCATGAGGCGGGCTAACTCGCTTTGCCGGGCCAAGTTCTCATTTGTTTCACATGAGGCGGGCTAGCTCGGCAAGCGCTATAGAAATTCCCGCGCGATTTTTGTTTACGGAAAATGTTTCAGAAGTGTTGTTGATTTCTTACTTGTTTTGAATTCTTAGATGTTTTCTAGATAGAATAAAGCATGGGTTGTGACACAATTTGCAGCCCGGTTTGCTGGGCTGGCCGCGTGTGTTCGTATGAGCCTGGGAAGGAGAGATCTCGCCTTGCTCAAACGGAAGCCCGCAAACCGGGACAGCCCGGTTCTCATGTGAATCAAATCTCAAAAACATATAAAGATAATACACAAGGCGTGATCTCGACACTTGCGAGTCAGCCCGGTTTATATTGGACCAGCCCTAGTAAAGAGCTTTAGCAAGTCTCAGTAAAGAGCTTTTAAATTCGGCCAGCCTGGCCCAATTTTTGACCGAAAAAGCGGGGGCCACTTAAAAATATTAGTTCAGAAAGGGGGGTCCAGTTATTTTATTATAGTGGGGGAAAATTTGACATGTAACGATTATTGCTACCGCGAGAGCGAGCAAGGCAGCAAATTTAATTCATGTACCTAGCAAAATTCTCAATTTTAATCAACACTGATAGACCCAATCTCGTTCCCAGAGCATACCTGTTCGCGGGTTATGTAGTGGCATGACATAGCATTACATAACCCGCGAACATAACTCATAACTACATAACATAACTCCATAACTACATAAATACATAACTCATGCCACTACATAACCCGCAAACAGGCATACTCTGGGAACGAGATTGTGATAGACCGAAAATGCAATGTGCAAATACCCAAAATGCAATGCGTGCAGCTAATATGAAAAACAATAGAGCAGATACCTTATAACTTTTGCCATGAACTTGCTATAAATATTGTCATGTTTGCCTGATGTACATTTTAATAAAAAACACACTCACCAATATATAGTTAATTAAATACGCCTTGTAAACAAATTGCAAATTTCGACATACTAAAAGTCCTAAAACGCTGCTTTCTGATCATCAAAATTCTGTCAAATCTTTCCCAAAGTTCAGGAAATGGCATTTCAGAGACTCTAAATTTAAAAATTTCCTCTTGTTTTCAGCCCCCAATAAAAAGAGCTTCCTACAGTATGGCACTGTAGCAACATGACGTCCACAGCGAGTTTGGCGTACACTGTATAGACTAGTATATACTAGGTATTTTATACATGGTTTAATTTAGTATTAAGTACATAATGTGTGCTTTAGTAGAAAATATACTTTGTAGTGTAGAAAACACAGTGAAACTGGATTCTAATTTTTACGTCAGTCTAAAGTTAGGATTAGCAGAGTTTGTTCTGATTAGATATGCATATTGTTGAAAGCACAAGTAAATGTAGATATGATGCCGGTAATGTGTCTATGTATATATTGTTACTATGTTTTAGAATTCAAGTGAAGGGGGTCATTGGACTTTTTGTGATGCAGGGGGGCAGGGCATTTTGTTTAGTTGGTAATTGAATTTTGCCAGCCCACCCCCGGTCATAAATAGTGAATGGTCCCTTAGTAATGTATGCTTTGGCTCCATGATCATGGGCGTACGAGAAGGAAAAAATTAGGGGGGCGAAGGAAATTTCCCGACTTTTTCGGATTGTGCCCGCGTTGTCAAAAAAAACTTTCTGGAGAAACTTTCCAAAATTGTTGTTGTCGACGGGGGGGGGGGGAAGAGGGAGGAATGATTACGAAAAATTCCTATTAGATAGCATATTTCCCACAAAATTGACAGAATTTCCCACAAAATTGACAGAATTTGTCCCATTTATTTTTATAATAAGCCAATATTGCCCGACTGTGAAGCTAATATTGCCCGACTGCCTTTGTTTGCCCAACAAACTGGGGGGCCCTGCTGCCGCCCCGTCCGCCCCCCGCCCGGTACGCCCATGGCTCGAATACAAAAGTATAAGGAATTTTGTTTTCTGTTGTTGCTATTGTCAGCTGCCAAACATTCTAACTCCGACTGGTGTCGGTTGCAAACCAGTGGAGGGAGTAACCAGCGGAATTGAGTATAAGCAGCGAAATTGGGCAATTATCAATTTCGTAGTTCGAAGTGCGCATTCGAGTGAATCGCAATTAGACAGAGTTTGCTAGATTATGAATAAAGAGCTTCTGAACAGTTCACCCTGTCCAGTTTCAAAACTGGATGTTGCCATCAAACTTTCTTTTAATTGAACCCATTTCATTTATCTTTATTCTATGCGGGTACAGTCAATCAAAGGGTTCGGCAGTTTTAGTGAGGTTATTAATATATAAAGGTTTCATTGCGCAGATTTTGTCTCCCATTATTAAACCCTTTCAGAAAGTATTTAGCAAAGAGATAGCGCTTTGAATGAATGAATGAATGAAGACTTTATTTAGCGAGAGTTACACATGCCAGTTTGCACTGATAAATTTGTGGCTCTCAATGGATTATACAAATAACATTAAACCTAAGTACTAAATTTATAAAATACTATATATACATACGTCTAAAATCCGAAGATTATATAGTAAAATGATCGATGTTTTCATAGCTCTCTTTACAGTTGAAGGGTTTCTGTACATGGAACTTTCGAGCGGATTATATGCAGTTTTACGATTCCTACGATGCAGAGGGAATTTTCGCCGTTTTGCTCACTGATACGGCGTGTTGTGCCGCTATTTTAACAATTGTTGCAATGGGGCAATGATTAACATTGTATATTAAAATACTCATTAATAATTCATAAACCTTGTGGCAAATCGTGTCAGCCACAATATCACGTGGAGTGACTTTATATTTGATGAAACTCATCTTCATTAGTATTCTTTATATTTTTGTTCATCCGAATTAGTATTCTTTTGTAGTCGTATTTTTACTCGTGTTTTAAATAGTTCATAAATTCTGATCCTAATAAAGGCACAAGTATATAATAAACAGGTTATCATAATCGGCACGAGGCGACATCAGTTTTATCGCTTTCAGAATATCATAAATGTCCCTTGCTCTAACCGCTCGTGTCATTTATGATACCATCCCTCAAGCGATAAACTAATATCGCCTCGCCCTTTATATCATATAACCTATACTTACAAACCCTTCATCTTGATTCTTGAGTTACGCCAAGGTTAAGTACTTTCCGGAAGAATGTATTAACATACGTCGAGTGTATGATGATTGGACGGTTGAATTAATTTTGAATTCAGTTTCAACTCTGTTGAACGCCAGGCTTGTATGCAGACAGAAGACCTTCGTTAACTTTCAAATGCGGAAAGCAATCAGAAACTGGCAATTTTAAGGCCTGATTCCACGACGGCGAAATTCTTCGCGCGAAATTGTGTCAGCGAAATACGGATAGCTGCACAGGGGCGATTCTGTTGAATTTTCCCACTTTTTTCTTCTTTCGCAATGAGTAGAACAGGCTTTTACTCACTGGTGAAGCGAATTCTTGCAAAGCCTAATTTATCTTTACTGCGCATGCACCTTATTTATTTCGCGCGAAAATTTTCGCATTTTGCCGTAGAAAGCGCCCGCCGGAAATGTGGCTATTAAGGAGTTGTTTATAATGTGCTGGCCTGGCCCGGCTGAATTTGTAATTCAGCTCTTTTGTTGTGACTATTAAAATGGAGGTGAATAAAAATGTCGTGCATGTTAGTATTAGAAAACCGATTTTTTGTCCAAGGAGTCGTCTGGCGAAATCTCGCTTACCAGGATGAAAATTTCTCCATATAAACACTCACACGCGGGCTGGTTGCTATTTTGTTTTTAGTTACAAATACTCATTCTCGTCCCCAGAGCCATTTTCACTCGGTCACTCGTTGAAAATTAGGCTCTGGGTTAGACGACTAAAGTGAGAGGATCTGATTGACTTCTCAGAGAACTGCTATTTCCCAGAAGTTGAGCAGTTTTCGCTAGGAAAATATTTTTCTATCAAAATTCAACACAAATACTTCGTTTCTTCGTAATACTTGTCTGTGAAAATTGTTACGGGTCCTGAAGCGTCCCAATTCAAGAGCATGCGCTTTACAAACTATTGCAAGTTTTCTTGCACTTCCGGTTCTGTGTATCCAGTGAACTCTAATAATAACTGGAAGGCTAAGTCAGGGGGGGGGGGAGTTGAAGCCGTGCTTGAAGCTTTTTTTGTAGGTAGCTATAGACCCAGTCCTTTTTGATTTTTTTTTTCAAAATATGCACATTTTTTTGTCAGAAAAATCTTGCCCCAAAATATCAGTTATACTACCAAATTTAATTTATATCAGTAGTATGATAAATGTATTTAATATTCGCAAAGCAAACAAATCACGAATTAGCAAAAAAAATGGGAAAAACACGACCATAAGCATGAACGGTCTGAAAAACCGCGCGTTTTAGTCTGCTTTTTCTGAGTTTTTGGAAGTTTAAGATAAAACTAAGACGTCATATTTCAGGAATTTTTTATACCCATGCAAAATACATCTGTATGCGAAGTTTCAAGAAGATTTAACGTTTTAAGGTCGAAAAAAAAGCATTTGCAAATTGACAAAAATATTGCCATATTCAAAGTGCTCATAGTGGCCAACAAGATGCCGATGACGAAAATAACATCACTTGAAAAACGCCAATTTATTTATGTTTAAGAGCGACTAAAACAAGGACTAAAAGCTCAGGATCAATAACAATACCTGGGGTTTAGTACAACATAAGTTTTGGGACTGTCAAAATGTTTTATAGTATATATTTTTGAGTTGAACGGCGAGATTTCCTTCGGCACGTCCAAACTTTCGTCATTTTTTCAAAATACAAAAGCAAAATTCTTACTTTTTGCTGCAGAGAGATGTAAAACAGTCGGGACTAATCGGAAAACCTGGTTTAAATCCCAATCATTGTTGTATTCCCATGGAAAAGGTGTTTTTCTTGCAAATTTTTGCTCGAAAACAAACTTTTGACAGAATTTTTTTCACTCCTCGAAACTCTCCTTAGTCCTTTTTGAAAGCTGATTTTCCCGCGCGCCGGCTTCAACGAATCATAGACTTTCATCATATATAGGAGTTAGACGACATATATCAGGAGTGTTTCGAGGATTTATCTGGTTTTAAAGCTGATAAAACAACATTTTAATGAACGGAAACTTTGTAATATTTCGTGGAAAACATTAAGCTGTGCATTCCAAAGGTTTTAAATAAAAAATAAGTACTTTTGCTTTATTTTATTGCTTTTTAATATGCTTTGAAAACAGGCAAGCTCATATTTTTTGAAAAAATTTTATCTAATATTTTACCCATTATTTGTTTAATCTGAACAAAAATAGATAGAACACTTGGCTATATAAGTTATAAAGGTATTGTTAGCTGATCTGAAAGATTTCAGTATTCCAGGTACACATTTTAACAAAGAATAAAATTAAAATATATGCATATC